AATCTTGCTGGATTTACAATATACTTTGAGGATCATTCTGGTTTGATCAACAACCTTAGTCTACTTTGATCAACATCTTGTCTTGAGTAAAAACAATTAAATGAAAATTTTAACTTGATCATCACAGAACTATGATGAAAAATCTTCCTTGGTCAACAATTTCCTGTGATGAGCAATCTGAATTTATGAATCATTTGATATGCTGGACAACTTGCCATGATCAAAAACTGGCTTTGAACAACAAGTCACCGTGAAAAAAAGATTGTTTCATCAACAGTTTGCCTTGATAAAAAAAATCTATTTTGATCAACAACCTTTCAAACATTTTTCCTTGATGAACAGATTGTCATATTTAACAACTAATTTTGATCTCACATGATTAACAATTTACTATGAGGATCATTCTGGTTTCATCAACAAACGAATTCCCCTTTGATGAGCAGCTTGTCTCATTCATCAAAAATAAAAATAACAATTTGACTTGATCATCACGAAACCATGAACCATTCATCATCAAACATTTCTCCATGATTAATATACTCTCATGATTAAAAGCAAACTTTCAACAGCCAGTGATGATAATTCTGGTTTGCCCAACAACCAGATTATGCTTTGATGAACTGCTTGTCTTAATCATGAAAAATAAAATGAAAAATTTAACTTGATCATCATGAAACTACGATAACAAATGTTCCTTCATCTAAAATTTCCTTTCGTGATCAACCATGTCATGATCAACACTTGTCTTTGAAAAACATATTATCAAGTCTAAAGGGATAATTTGTGGATCAACAATTTTCCCAATATGATCAAATTGGGTTGATCAATAATTTGCCTTGATCACAAATCTACTTTAATCAGTAATCTTTCGTGATCAAATATGTTGCCATGATTAACAACTTGTCATAATCAAAAACTAACTTACGTTGATGATCATTGATTGATCAACAACCATTTATATATTGATCATTATCTTTTCATCTCATCATCTTATGATCAACGAAAACTGAAATGCAAAATTTGACTTTATCATTACCGAACTAGGATACCAAATCTTCTTGATCAACGATTTCCATTAATGATAAATTTGATTTGATGAACCATTTGATTTGATGAACAAATTTTCATGATCAACACCATGCTTTGAACGACAAGTTGCCGTGACTAAAAAAAATATTTGATCATCAATCCGCCTGATTTTACAATTTGAGAAACATGATCAAATTGGTTTGATCAACAATTTGCCTCGATGATACATTTTATTTGATTCAAAATCTTTTTTGATCAATAACCTTTTATGATCAAACATTTTGCCATAATGAACAACTTTTCATGATTAACAACTAAATTTGATCTGCAATTCTTTGATCCATATCAATTGAAAAAATTAAACTTGATCATCATGGAACTATGATAAGGAATCTTCCATGTTCAACAATTTATTTTGATGATCAATCTGATTTCATAAATTATTGGTTTGATGAACAACTTGTCATGTTCAACACCTGGCGTTGAACAACAAATCACCAATACTATAAACATAAATTGATCATCAATTCACCTGGATCAACAATTTGCCCAATATGATCAAATTCTTTTGAACGAAAATTTGTTTTGATGATCAATTCGCCCTGCTCATGATCGAATATTTTCCATGATGAAACACTTGTCATGATGAACAACGAACTTTGATCATAATTCTTTCTTTATTCACGATTTACTTTGATGATGTTTATTAATTAATTTGATAAGACTCAAGCGAATTAACTTTACAGAGCCGAAGATTCTTGGTCACTATACAATACATCTGAAAACTAAAGTCAAAAGATACAACACAATAAACACTTTATCTTCCGCTATCCAAAAAGCCTCCTCCATCAGAACTGGAGCCGCTTCCAGTGGTTTCATTGTATGGCAGTTACGCCAACGGGGGTCAGAGCGCTTCCATTGCAGCAATGGACGCAACAAGTGGTCAGCACACACACACTCATCACGAAACGGTTGCTTTCCAAGGTGCTGATGAAGAGCAATGAGGAGGACCACTCAATGGTTGCTGCCGAGAAAACAGACGATCGCGTGGCACACATCGAGAGTGACCGGCTTCTGTCGACAGCCAAGTGAACGCTGATTTACTTTGATGATTATTCTGGTTTGATCAACAACCAGATTCTACCTTAGTCAACATCTTTTCTTGATCGATAAACATAAAATGAAAAAAATATGACTTGATCACCATGTAACTTGATGCAAAATCTTTGTGATTCAACGATTTCCTTTGATGATCAATTTGATATGATGAACTATTTGAACACCTTGTCATAATCAACACCTAGCTTAACAAATCACCTTGACTAAAAGCTTAATTTGATCATCAATCTACTTGGACAAACGATTTTCCTAATATGATAAATTTACCTTGATAAGACATTTACTTTCATCAACACCTTTTCACTATCACACATTTTGCCAGTCGTATGCCAGGATCAACAACTAACTTTGACCAATCTCAATTCAAGACACATAAAGCTTTTTGTTTAATAGCGATCATAACAGATATTCTACAACAATTTCAACGAAGCCTTCCACTATCTTATCGGCGACCTGACGAGCTGATTTGTTTAGGTTTTGATTTTTCTAAAAATATTGGATCGAGGGTTATTTTGGACTCAGCTGGAGTCATCTGATTTGACTCTTTCGATGAGACGATGAGCTCAAATTTGGAATTTTATGGTGGTTCAAACCAAGACACACAAAGTATTTGTTTTAATAGCCGTCATAACAAATATTCTATTAAAATTTCAACGAAGCCTTCCGCTATTTTTTCGACGACATAACAAGCGGATTTTTTGGGGGATTATTTTTCTCAGAATAAGTTACGAATATGATAAATTTACCTTGGTAAAAAATCTTCTTTTATTAACAACTTTTCACTATCACACATTTTGCCATGGTATACAACTTGTCAGGAACAACTTACGTTGATCAATCTCAATTCAAGACACATTAAGCGTTTGTTTTAATAGCCATCATAACAAAAATTCTACTACAATTTCAACGAAACCTTCCACCATCTTATCGGCAACCTGACGAGCTGATTTGTTTACGTTTTGATTTTTCTAAAAATATTGGATCGAGCGTTATTTTGGACTCGGTTGGAGACATCTGATTTGACTCTTTCGATGAGGCGATGAGCTCAGATTTGGAATGTTATGATGGTTCAATTCAAGACACATAAAGTATTTGTTCTAATAGCCGTCATTACAAATATTCAATTCAAATTTTAACGAAGTCTTCCACTAACTTTTCGATGACCTGACAAGCTGATTTGGGGGGGGGGGTTATTTTTCTCAGAATAAGCTACTATTCAGCTTTAAATTTTTGTTATTGTGTGAGAGTTCAAGTAGATGCAGAACATTGAGCTCAAATGCATCGAACTATGGATGAGAGAAACCAGGGATTTCAGGATGGATTCCGTACACTGAAATTTCATCCAAAATGTACATTAATGTCAAAGCCACATTAAAGTTTCCAAAACTGTTATGCAACATGTGAGCTACTAGTAAGATTTTCTGGAGACATTTCAGGGCAGGTGATTGATTATCCCAAGACCTGTTAATCTTTGAATCCTCCTAAGCAGGTCTCGGAGTTCTAACCTCGTTCTGGATCTACTCTGACTGCAATGGGGCTTTGCTGTAAACGTTCCCAAGCATTTGCTTCAGTCGTCCACTGAACTTGGTTTGGGAATGTACATATGAGGGATTCAAACAGGACTTTCAACCTGAGTTGTTGTCAGGTTTTAAGGGAATCCATGTGGATCCAGTGAATAGCTAGCGGAGCATGCGCTTGAAATTTCGCGCACATTTTCAAACATCTTCGGAAACGGGCGAAGGGAACTCTAATCGACGGGATCACCTGATGTCTCTGAAACCTGATTCCATAGAGACCTCTAAATTTAGATCATCTTCCTGCCAAACTTGCTGATTTCCAAAAATTGTCCATTAGCTTCCCCGGAATGTCCTTTGGACTTACCCGGGACGTGATACTTGCTTTTGGGAATCTTTGTCTGAATACTCTTAGCGTCTTCTTGGTTCTGAGTCTTAGATTCCCTGGAAATGTGTCAATTTTAAAAATCTTCGACCATTGAATTCTACTGGACATGTCCTTGGAGTCCTCTGAAATTGATGATTTAGGCTAGCGTTCATTGGCCGAGATAGTTGCTATATTTGCCGAGGATGTTCACTTATTGAATTCGAGCTTGAAAAAAATGCACCCCAGTCCCAACTACCGAATAAGACGCTTCATAGTATTTGCAAACACTTTATTGCAGAGTCATCAGCTTGAACCTCCGGGCACGTTAAATTATTGAGAAGGTTATGGATGCTTGCGGTTTCAGCGTTCCAATTGTAAGCGACAATCCACGGTGCCCCTTTGAGTCCACCTTGAGCAGTTCCGAAGAAATCGTAAGATTGTCTCATCCGAATTCGCACCCCACTTGATTCCTCCCTCCCCCCCCCCCCCCCCCCCCAGTTGGTCATCGGTTTTCACGCATGAGTAATCCAATTCGCACATCTCAGCTGCAGGCTGTTCGTTCGCCATCATATTATGTCATACACATCACCCAGCTCTACTAGGTTGTAAACAAACAACACAGCACAAGAAATCAACGCCCGACGACCTTCGATGGCGGAAAGCCATCAAAACCAGATCTCTCCCGCTCTTGCTCTCACTTCCATCGGGGCCCGGCAACAGCTCCGAGCAAGTGAAAGGGATGCTCGACGACGATTGCCGAAAAAAAAAACGTGTTTTTTGCCGCATCATCTCGGTCTCGATGATGGATTTCACGTAACGATCGTAAAGTCCGAAAACCGAGCCCAGACAAAGTGTCTTCTTCAACCAGTTCCAAAGAGTCGGAAAACTGGGTCAAGTCTCCTTATCAAGAGGGTTTATTCAGTACTGGCCAAAGCAACCAACTCACACTCTCGTCTAATCTTTTCTTGCAGATTGTTGGCTCCCCGTCTCCAAAGGTTATTTAATTTGTCCAGCAGTCACACCCGTAACAAATACTCAAAACTCGCCTACACACCCCCACCTGAAACCCACACACTCACAAACACACAATGAAGAACCTACGCCTGGTGGTGACAGCCGTGATAGCGTGCAGTGCGCTGGCCGTGCTGGCCGTCCCGGTGCCGGAACCAAATACCGACATCGAACTGATGAAAATTCCGCTGGAGGGAGATCAGGTGAGTTGAAATTATACTTTTGGTGAAAATCTTGGTGAATGAAAGGATGAAACAGAAAAGCGAAATCGTGGATGACCTACCATTTGCCATTTTGACGGAAGGTCGACCACCGTGTGCGTACCACTTCACAGTGCTGCCTGCTGACTCGGTGAGGATCGAGTGATGAAAGAACCTAGGAAGATGAGAATTGCATTTGGTAGCTGTAATTGGAGACGGTTTGCGGAAATTGATTTCCGTGCAGAAACAAATGACTCTGGTGAGCATTGAGAAGTGATTGCTGCCTAAAAGCAACGATTTGTTTGAAATTGGAAGAATGCTTTCTAACATGCCGACTGCATAGTAATTTAACAATGTTTCATCGGGTGGCAGGCGGCTTATTCAGCTTCAAGTCAGCCAAAATGTTTGTTGAGACACTTAGACTGAGGCAAATAGGCTTAAGAATTTCATGAGGCTCGACTTATGAACGACGCATGTGAATTTCATAAATGCGACTTATGATATTTTCTCGTATAACATGAGGTAGCTCTTATACGCCTTTAGTCATTTCATTTTCCCAAGCGTTGACAGACGAGTGGTCCAGCAACTAGACCCGTAATCGAAACGTCCCTTGGTTCGGTTCCAGTCTGCTCAGTTTGATTGCCGACGTTATTTTTCATAAGGCAAATCAATGAAATTCATACCGATTTTGCCTCGGTGTAGTCATAAGTGACGAAAAAGAACCTTAATTATTAACTTAAAGATTGGTGGACAATAACTTCGAATAATCAACTCGAAAAATTCTGTCAGGGACACCGGAGAATTCCGACTGGTATTCGAAGAATTAAGTACAAAATGATGGAAAGCTTGTAGTGGAAGCAACAGAGCAAAACAAACGAAGCCAAAATTTGGGGTTTCAGTCAGGACTGTCCTGGTTCAATTTGATATTTTTTGAAACCAAGGTGAGGCCTTTATCTTTGTTGGAATTGTTCGGGTACCAGTCGAGGTTCTCCACCTATAATTTCCGACTGAGTTTCAGTCAAGATTAAACGGGCCTTATTTGAAATGCTCTAAATCTAAGTCGTGTTTCTCCAACTTCTAGTCGGGATTATCTCAATTCCAGCCAAGATTCTCCGTATTTAGGTAAGGATTCTTCGAATTCCAGTCAAAAGTCGATGGATCCCATTGGCATCCAAAGATTCCCAACAGGGTTTTCAGAAAGTGTTGGCAATTAATGAGAACATCTCAACAGAGATACGAAAAATTCTAATTGCAACCCGTATTTCCGTTAAAAATTCCAAAGGCTGCATAATCATGTAGTACCTATGACACTCGAAAACGAACAAGCTGATAATCCAGATCACGTAAGTTTGACAAATGTAGGATTAGAATTAATACACGGCCATTGAGATCAACCCAAATTTGAGTTTAGTTTACTCATAAATATAGTGAATAGTCTCGCAATATCAAAGGATCTTCTAAAATAAATAGAAAGTACAGCCATGATTCCTTATTGCCGGGCTATCCGCGAATAAGGATACCCACAGCTTATGGGATTTGCACTAATAGGGGCTGTAGTGGATTGTCTCATTTGTTTCAATATATAGAGCCATACTATCTTGCACAAAGTTGTTGTACTAAGATAGACCAACAAGCCTGTTTCATTGGATTCAGGTTTGATTGGGGACTACGCCGCTAGAGGCGCTTCCCTTTTATGTTACTTATGACGGGCGCTATAATATATGGATCTTAAATCCAACATAGAATATTTCGTGATCCTGGCCATATAGAAAGCTACTGTCTTGAGCAAAGTTGTTCAAAAGACCAAGTCCTTTCGGATTGTCGCCATATAAGTTCAGAACACTCTCACTACGCAGCGCTAGTGTGCGCATGAGCGGAGTATAAAAGCTGTATCTCCAAATCCTGGTCATATAGAACGTTACTGTCAACAGCAAAGTTGCTCAGGTGATCATGTCTTTTTATATGGTGTTCATATTAGTTCAGAACTCTCTCACTACGCAGCGCTAGTGTGCACATGAACTTCCTTAATATGTTATGTCTGGAAAGATATATAAGATGTTGCTGTGCAATGTGAGGACACGAAACATAATAGGAATGACGTGTAGAGAGACTGGAAATCGATTTCGGGCGCCATTTTGAAATCCAAGATGGCGACCATCGGTTCAAGAAAAACTGTCAATTACCCTACAATAATGGTATTTCTGGAAAGGGGTCGACGTGTAGAGGCCAGAAATCGATGCTAGGCACGATGTTGGAAATGAAAATGGCGGTCATGAATACAAGAAAAACTCTAAACTACCCTACAATATGGGTATTTCCGGAATGCATGTTATATGCATTCTAGTCACCCTCGTTCATGCACAAATCTTGCATTTTTGCACTCTGTTCGACATTAGGGTTGATGCATATAGTATGTAACACTCTAAGGGAGGAGGGGGGGTCTTAGATTTTGTGACAAGCAATGCATTAGGTATAGAAAAAACGTCACGATAGGGGGGGAGGGGGTAATTTTTTGCTCGATTTAGCTTGACATAATTAATGCATGGGCCCTTACTGTCCATTGCGCAGAAGTTTTGAAAATATAATCCATAATCATTGTAGATGGGTCCAGTTTGCAAACGATTTCATCTACTGTAGCTCATCTCTTATGATTTCGTTGATTTCACTGTGTTTTTTTTAACCCCGGCGCACCAAATTTTACGTGAATTTGTAGAATTTCGGACATGATCTGCAAAGCCTCGTTGTCGTCTTCATGGCATTGGTCACTCGCGAAATTTGACGGAAGAATTTTCTTCCAGTAGTTTACCAACGTGCGTTGCTTTATGTCCTTTAGAACCACATCCAAGCAGTCGAAACAATTCTTGATGCTGAACTACTTTCGTGTATCCGCTAGTGAAAGGCCTTCATTCTCGGCTGTTTCCAGAATAAAACAGAAGCTTCTCTTGACATAGTTCAGCTTGAAATGTTTGATGATGTCTTGATCAAGGGGTTGAATTAAAGACGTGATCTTTGGTGGCATGTATAGAAGCTAATGTTCTTGGCTGCGCAAAACTTAACCAACTGTGGTAAGAAGCAGTCGTTTATCTAGTCCTCAAATAATTCTCGAGTCATCCAACCTTTCTTGTTGCTACGACAATGAACAGGGAGAATCGCTTTCTGAACATTTTTAATGACCCTTGGATTCGCGACATTGTTCATAACCAACGGCTTCATCATCCAGGACCCGTTACAGAAAAATATGTTTGAGAACCCTTTCTGGCCTTTACACGTCGTTCCCTTTCCGGAAATACCCATGTTGTGGTATTTGACTGTTTTTTAACCGTTTGTTGGCATCTTGGATTACAAAATGGTGCCTGGCATCGATTTACAGCCTCTACACGTCGTCCCCTTTCCAAAAATACCCATATTGTAGGGAATTTGACAGTTTTTCTTAAAGCAATGGCCGCCATCTTGGATTCCAAAATGACATCCCCTTTCCAAAAATACCCATATTGTAGGGTATTTGACAGTTTTTCTTGAACCGATGGTGGCCATCTTGGAGTCCGAAATGGCGCCTAGAATCGATTTCCAGCCTCTACACGTCGTCCCCTTTCCGGAAATACCCATATTGTAGCGTATGTTAGATTTTTCTTGAACTCAAGACCGCCATCTTGGTTTCCAAAATGGCGTCTGGCATCGATTTCCGGCCTCTACACGTCATCCCCTTTCCAAAAATACCCATATTGTAGGGTATTTGACAGTTTTTCTTGAAGCAATGGTCGCCATCTTGGATTGCAAAATGGCGTCCGAAATCGATTTCTGGCCTCTACACATCATCCCTTTTCCGGTTCCTGTCCTCACATTGCACAGCAACATCCTTTTGTGGACAAGCTTTTCATACATAACATATTTAGGAAGTTCATGTGCACACTCATTGCTCGATTCCGGGCAATGAGATGACTGACTCACTTCCTAAGGTGGGCGCTATGGAAGGCGATATTTACGATCAACAAATCGCCTACGATGATTTTTTCTTCATTTATCGTCAACAGTCACTCGTCAGCTGGCAGAATAAGTGGAGTGAAGGGAGTTTGGGACGATGGCTATATCCAATCATCCCTAAGGTGTCGAAGAGTCCTTGGTTCAAGGGGTTGGATGTGGGTCGAGACTTCATTCGTATGATGTCTCGCCTCATGTCCAATCACTATTCGTTAAACGCTCACTTGTTCCATGTTGGGCTGGGGGACAGAAATCTCTGTGAATGTGGACAAGGTTACCAAGACGCCGATCATATTATTTGGTCTTGCTCCTTTAACTTTAATCTAAGACATCAATAATGTATAACGAAAATGATAACTCGGCTCTGTCAAGTTTATTCGATTGAGCCTGTACAAATAAAGTAATTAAAAAAAATGTGCACACTAGCGCCGCGTAGTGAGAGAGTTCTGAACTAATGTGGCAACCATCCAAAAAGACTTGGTCACTTGAACAACTTTGCTCAAGACAGTAGCTTTCTATATGGCCAGGATAACGAAATATTCTATGTTGAACCTAAGATCCATATATTATAGCGCCCGTCATAAGTAACATAAAAGGGAAGCGCCTCTAGCGGCGTAGACCCCAATCAATTGATTGGTTGGTCTCGGTAACTGGTCGACTTACAAATTTACTGTGGATGCCTTCTTTGAACGGGAGGAACCGTGAGAGGTAGTGAAAACTGACCCAACGTTTGAAGGAGGTGCAGTTGGCGTGATGCTGGAACCGGTAATTGATTGAGACGAGCCTTTTGATCTCTGACACATTAGAAGCTTATGTGATCCTGATTATTCCTACTGAACACCAGCTCAGAGGCGAGGGATTTGCTATATCTGAGGAATGGATAGGAACGCTTGTTTTGAAGAGCTCCCGGAAGAATGTAGGCCAATGATTATGGCAAGGGTTGTATGGCGGTTATTTCGTTACTGTTTCCAGTTTTATATTAAAACCAAATCTAATATGATTTAAACATCCAATTGTGCATTAAA